GTTAGACCACTAACACAGATGATGTGCGACGAAAATATGTCGTATCCTACCAAACTATGAAAAAAAATATATTATATTTATTTAGTACCTCACGGAAAACAAAATGTAAAATCTTATAAATATACATAATAATATAATATCTACACATCGTGTATATTATAGACTTGACATTTTATTATATTACACACAGAGGTAGGTATCTACGAGTGTACGCAAATGCACATGATAACACTGCACACACATTTTCATCGATATACTTACTATTATTTTGTTAAGCCATGGCATATAAGCTTGATGAAATCGCTGTACGCGACAAAGTGTTATACATATTGTCGTATAAATCGTGGTGGATTTTATCGGCTCGGACTCGAGACGGATTGCAGCCGTGCGCTTTTTAGACGAAATGAGAATTATTGAATCCCACTGCTCTGGTCAGTGCTAGATCCGCGGCGGGGGCTGACCGTGCCGTGACACGAGTTCAACGGATTAGTCCGTTCGGTTCGACGTGCGTCCACTACGGTTTTATTGCGTCGGACCGCCGCCGGTCCACGCGGTATGCGACGGACCGTCGTTAAAATAAATTGCCAACGGCTATCAAATACTATAATATATATAGGTATATATATGTACTGTGATATAAATGCATTGTTGTACTGATGAAATATTATTATTATTATGAGTACAATAATACATTTACGTCGTTTGAGTAATTAAATCAAATTTCGCGTATGTTACGATCGCGTCACGCGTTACAGTGTAGATTAATAATAATATATAATAATATTATGTACATTGTACACTCGCGAATACGAATCCGTCTGCGGGCGCATGTGATTAACGCGTAAGAAAAAAACGTGCGAACAAAAAACAAATCCGCTCGCAATCGGTGCCGACGACGGGGTCACGGGGAGGACGCGAGCGAGGGGGAAAAAAAATCAAAACCCGCTAAATTGGATTCGACAAAACGTTATTACAATACCGCCGCGCCGACCGATGATGTGTACCATGCGTTTGTTGCCGTTTATTTATAGTCTTTATAGTCTTTGACCGTCGATTTAGCGCACCCACCCGTTTGACATTGATCCCATTGTGAGCAGACACACATACAATTGATTATTAACTGTTGTTTTCCCCTATTATATATATACGATCGTAGTCGTAGTAGTGTAGTTGTACCGTATAGTTGTAGTAGTGGTAGTATAGTTGTTGTAGTATTAGTAGTAGTCGTCGTCGCCGTCGTCGTCGTCGCCGCCTCCACCGTCGTGTATCGACTAATCCTCCGACACCACCGCCACTACCATCAGCACCCGCTCGCTAGTTCGCTCGCCACCCCCAAAACTAAGCACGTCTCCTCGTCGAGCGTATCGCGGCCAAATAGATTTGTCGTCCGCGGGGCAGTTATTGTTCCCCAAACAAGCTGTACGAATATAATCTCCGCCGCCGCTTTATAATATTATATATATAACACTATATATAGTCATCGGCTCCTCTCACTCTCCCGTCCTCTCGCTCACTCTATTAGCCACCCGGGCCGTCCCCCAAATAAACCGCCCCACGATGAGCGCTCAAAACATATTTGTTACGCGCGGGCCACCAAAACACCATAATATATATATTATATTATGTACGGATCTGTTATGGTGGCGGCTGCAGCAGCCGTTTATCATTATTATTCAATCGTCACCTATTATCGCAGAGCCTCCGAATTAACTGTATTATTAATATTATATCGTACACCTCTGTCCCCTCGCTGCTTAGGTCGTCTGTTGTTTAATATAATTCACTCACAGCAGCCGTGCAAAATAGGCGTGTAATTTCACTTTTGTATCGTTTATTATAGGTACTGTAGCATGGTTGTTGAGATTAAAAAATAATAACCGTATAGGTACACACACTATCGGCACCCGTGCTATATCCGCGTGCATGTCTGCATGGTATTTTCTAGATTTAAGCGATAATCGTTGTTTTTGAGCCTTACTCCAACGTCCCCTATAAACGCCCATGCATACGATATACACGCAGACCATGTCCAAATGTCCATTCTGCTCATGGCACTATTTCATCCCTGCAAATAACAGGTGCAGTCCCAATACCATAATGGTTTGCTCGTGCCCGGATTAATATATATTATATATTATAGTGTCACCCTAGGTAAATAAAAATTCATTGCACCCTCGCCCTTAGAAAAAAACAACTGATTGTATATATTTAACTATACTATACAATATATTGTATTTATTTATAATTATAGACATCAATAAAATACAAAACGTCATTAAAATAATTTTAAACTTTTGCTTTTAAGTTTAAATTAGTTGCACAATGGCTTATTACAAATTAAAACATTTAATTTTTAGTAAAAATGTTTTATAAGACAATAATATTATTTGATGTTATAATATGCTCACTTATTAAATCACAATAAGATCATCTTGTAAATTGTTCGAACTAATACTCTACATCGTCTGTGTGTGCATCCTAGTATTTTTCAAAATGGAAATAAACACTTTTCAATATTTATACCATCATTAATCACAACTCTATACTTTTATATTCGTATAAAGATGAAATGGTAGGAGCATTTTCATCATCAAACATACCATTTTCCTTTTAGTTCACAATAGTTAGTAGACGGTAGTGGTTTAAAATATAAATATAAAAGTTATATTTTTTTTTTACAATATTTATTAATACATCAAACATTGTTCATATATCATATATATGGTAGGTAAGTAGCAATACATTTCGGTAAGATACTATACTCTTCTAAATATGGAGTACATTCTCAAATGATTAACATCAATGTTTTGTAACTGCTTTTGAGTTTTTGATAAGTTATAAATGATAATAATAATAATTGTGAAATAAGTTTCCCTAAGTTGTTTTTTTTATCAATTAACTACGTCGACTAAAAATAAAAAACAGTAAAATAAAAATATTTGACTAAAATTACAATAATCAGCTATTTGCATTTCCATGCTAGGAAGAATAAATGAATTTTTATTAGTAAAATATATTTGGAATACAATTAATAGCTACATATATAGGTATAAGTAAAATATGTCAAGTCGCTCAGAAAGTTCAGCTTACGATGGTGTTGAGGGGGGGGCAGGCTCACACTCGGTCTCCGAGTTAACTCTGCTGGTCCTCATATAGGTACAATAACCATACAGTACGCTGTGCATCGTGACCATCGCACTGTTGTCGTCGATTTGTTGCGCGCACACGTCAAGTCGAGTGCCCGAGGAGTGCGGCAAGAGACAACCGGCGGCGGGTGCGCACTTATATGTACCTATAAAATAATATAGGTGTATAATGTACCTATATTCATCTACCTATATGCACCACACAGTCATAAAATTCATTCACACATCAATAAAAACCACCCGATAAGCCGTGGTGGACGGGCGTAATATATACACACTAATTGTATATTATTATGATTTTCGGTGTGTGTAATAACGATAATGTACACATAATATAATAGTAATAATATTATACACGTTCGGCGGCGGTGTGTGGTCCGGTCCATCATGTCTCTTAACACGTGCTGCATTGTAAAACCGCAGTGCCGCGCGCTGATGACGTCGCACGACCAACTGCAGATATTGGCAAATAAAATGAAAACGAATAAAATGGAAAGGCTTGGGACGGCGACAATGACGAGTTTCGCAGACTCGGCGGGGCGCCGCGGAGCGATATCGCGTGCTCTTTTATCGACCGCGGTCCACGTACTTGGTTGGAGCGCCCGCGCAAACTCGAACTTGTGTGTGTGATCTTGTATGTAAGTTTCCATGTAAGTTTGTACGTAAGTCTGTGCGTGTGAGTGTGTGAGTGTGTATATATGCATAATAAATGTGTCGATTTGTGTGTGTGTGTGTGTGTGTTCGAGTTTACTATAAATACCTAAACGCATGTGCGTTATACTATATCGTGCAAGAGCAGGGTCCATGCAAAGTCCGTTGGAATTAACTGCAGTAGCCTTTCAGATATGCACAGCTGGCCGCTTGTACACACACGTTCTTACAATCTGCACGTGAAGATAACATATTATTATAATATTATATAAGAACGGCGTCGTCGTCGTCGCCCCGGCGTTTTGCGTTATCCCCTATATATTATATATACACATTGTCATATTGTGCGTGTAACTTCTTGTTAGGGACTGTTTGTGCAGCGGTGTGCTTTAGTGTTTGCACATGAGCCCTTTCCGAATCCTTTGCTGAGAAGCTTCTATGCGTAATAGCGGCTTCACGATATATGGCGGCGACCACAGTGTCCGTCGTCGTCGCTGTCATCTTTTGCGTGAAGTGCGCCATAATGATTATAATAACAATATTATATTGTTATAACATGATAATATAGGTACGATTTTGTGAACTGTGTCGGACAGTAAAAAGACGTTTTTCTTCAATAACCATCCGCAAGGGCATACATAGTGATTTATTATAATTTATTACTTACATTAATATCCATTAAGCATTTTGTTTGACATGCATATATTATAAGTTATAGTATTCCTTCTTACTACATTGTAATTGCTGTAGTGGTTTATAATATAGAAAATTATATTATCATGCCAGCTATTCAATCCTGCATTCATATTTACTTGTTTATTATTATCATCTAAAATCATTGTGTACAACATTATAGTGTGGTTAATCAAAAAAGCAGTGGTGTATTGGTAAATAAATTTATGGGTATACGCACCTAAAAGTAGTTGAATATATACGATATATATACCTATATATACGATATACCTACCTTAAAAATTTATATGAACTATTTTCAAATTGGTTTTTTAATTTGTCAGATTCTCTTTCAATTAATATATTTGTAGCACATTTATGAGCTGATGATGTTACATGCTTTCTGATTTTATTCCGTAGAACAGAAAGTCTAGTTTTTTTATTATTACTAGTTCCCCCACTAATAAGACTAAGAGACCACTCTGGAGATATTTCAAAAGCAGAATTATTAGAATTGTGTATATTACTAAACTATTGGCAATTGGAGCAGCCAATTTTACCATTGTGACAATTCATCCAAGCATATTTTTCTTTTTTTGATTGCCACTGCTCAAAGGTCCAATCCTGTGGCCACTGAGTTACCTGAAATTATTTAGAGTTATATAAAGAGAGTTCTATATAGAGTTTTCTTATAGTTCTAAGAAAAAAAATATATATTGTTAAATATTTTACCAAATCTTCATTAATGGTTTTAGTAGCAGAATCTAATGTATAGACAACATCATTATTGACTGTAACTTCCTGTAAATATAATTAAATAGTTTCATATTTGATATTATAAACTTAAAATATTACTAATTATTAGTAATTAGTAACATTGCTAGAATAACTATCACTGACCAATAAAATAAACAACAATTAATAAATTTAAACTAATTTTACACACAGAAATAAAGAACTTATATTAGGTACTGTTTAAACAAAAATCTTAAAAGGCAGTTTTAATGTAATTCTTGTCAGTTATGTAAATTAATAAATTAATTATAATAGGTTACATTAACAATTTAATAACTTACTTTTTTACTTTCTGACGGATTATTAGTTATTGCAACTTCATCATCAGTTGGTGTTGGTTTATGTTTTTTCGTCGACGGCACAGAAAAATAATTAGTGATTTTTTGTGAAGTAGCGGTACGTTTATTATCCATTATCGATCATATAATATTATAATATATTTATATATAAAATATTTTACAAAATTAATAGAATTAATATAATAAGAAACTAATAGTTCGATTTTATAATTTGGTTATTGGATGACAAGTAATAACACAATAAATCAACAATAATTATTTTATTATTATTCCAATTTGTCATTATCATTTAGTTTGAAATTACGTATGTTTATTGTTTTATATTATCAATAATCGTACACGATTTTTTGACTATGGATCTATTTTTAACTATTAGATTAACCATACACGGCACACCGCGACCGATTCAGTGTAGGTAATAGGTATACACGATAAAGCAGTGGTTTACAATATATTTTTGAAACTTAGTAGGTACACAGTTTGGGAACCGCTGTACATTGATTGTATATACGCTCGGCAGTTTCCGATCGTCTTCGCAAGAACTTGTAGTAGGGTAAAATTTAATTATTATTTTTAAGTTTTTACTTTTGTTTGGTGATAATATGACTAAATTGTCTGATGATAAATTAGAAGCGTGCGTATACCCATAAATGACTAATTTTCTTAAAGGTATACGCATAAATCCAAAAATAGGGATCCGGGTATACGACGTATACCCGCGTATACCCTCCAATACACCACTGCAAAAAAGTAATTTATTATGACTAGCATGATATTAAATATTATTTTTCAAAATAACTGGAAAAAACTAAGTTATTGCAATAGATACTTTAACTAGTGAAGTAGTTGAATGACTAATGAGTAAATTACTATTGTAGTTCAGTTAAAAACAAATGAATGATACATATAAGTTTTAACTTTTAACTGATTAATACCCATTATAATCATTATTGTATTGAACTATTCATCATATTTGTACAGTCATCTTCAGAAATCTGCATAATGTATATTGTATAATTTGTATATTACCTATGCCTATATTATCTCGCAAACAAGTTTATATTTTCGTTACACGTAAAAACGATAATTGTGTATTGCTTGTATACAAAGCAAGTTTTATTGTTGTGAACAAATATTAATCAATTATAAAAATTATGTTTGTATTTGCTTAAAATATTAATTTGTCAATGTTGGGAAATGTTTACTTCACTCATAAGTCATAAGTCATAATATTATAAATATAGTATTACGAACTAAATGCATTGAGTACATAAATACCTATAAGTTTGCATCAAGTACTTAATCTGAAGTTGAATATTGTAGAGGTAGTTAATTTTTTTTTTATTTAAGCAATATTGATATTTACATAGTATTTGTTACATTGTTATATTAATTAGTTTTGAATTTACTTATAGGCAACAGACCGAACGTTTTATAAAACAGTCTACGTCATATACTATTTTAGTGTACATATACTTCGATAGCTGTTCTTTTTAAAATGTAATTCATTTAAATTAAGTTTCAAAATAACAACAATCCGTGGACAGAAATTATTTACAATATATATAATATTATATACTGTAAAAAATGGAAACTGCACTAACTGCAAGTAATTGATATTGGCATTATTATTGAGTTTGTTGTTTTTTTTCCAAAATACATTGCTTTTGTTATTATAATTCAATAATGAATCTAGATTTTTATTATTTCAATAATAGGGACAATACAAATTTTATTTTTCATCGGTCATATCATGAAAATATTCCACTACAACTCTGTACAAGTGGCATGCATATTATATTTATGTATTGTTTACATAAATAATTCACACGCGGAAAACACCCACTAATTTCATTTTGTCACACATTATAATTTATAGCACCTATTATGTAGGTATGTAGAACACATACAATACATAATATATATCCGGTTTGTCGCACTGTTCAACACCTAATTTTCGCACTAGCGACTGAGACCCTATATCATCTGTTGTGTGCCCCGGGAAAATTACAACATGTATATGACAAGAATCAAATAGTGTTTAAATTTTTATATATATCCCTATATTTTTGTTCGTATATATTTTTAATACCTATATGTTTTATTTTAATACCCGTTGTAATCGAGGCTATTTTATATTATTATTGTGTTCCGTATATAGCATATTATAGCCGTAGGATGAGGAGGAGAGTTAATATCGCCTCGACGAGATATTGTATGCAGCAGCAGTTCAACCGCCGTGCTCGTAGTTTATTATTGTATATACGTAGTTGCGCACACGATTCGACACACACACACGCACACACACGCGCACACACACACACACACACACACACACACACACACACACACGCACACACACACACACACATACACACACGCCCGCGCTCGCTCGCGCACACAATATAAAACAAGGTCGCCCCGCGGGGGTGAAAAGAGAGTCTCCACCGCTGGTCCTGCAGGTCGCGTCCTCGAGCGACGCGGCGGTGGCAGCAGAAGCTTAAAACGCGCGCGCGGAGCACCATCGCCGCTACTTGTTCGCTCGCTCTCTCGCGCACGCGATATATAATATGCGCGGCCGCGGCCCGCCAGATGGCGGAGACCCGTCACCGCCTCCGCATCGGCACAAGCAGTAGATACCGCGCAGGGACTTTATACACACACACACACGCGCATATAATACCCCTTAAACACCAGCATCGACAGACACACACACGCACCCACATTGTGTATTCGTTATTACCCTCCCCCGTCCCGAAAATCCCTTTAAACTGCTGTTTATTGAGTTTTCCCGCCTCCACCGGCCGTGCATATATGTATACGCGCGCAGCCAGTGCCGCTTTACGCGGCGACCGCCGCCCGTCCGTACTCGCGCGTCGGCGGCCGCGCCTGTCAATCAACCGCTGCCGCCGCTAAAGCGGCCCCGCCGGCTTATTAACAACATGTCTCGTAGTCGTCAACGGCGGCGGTGCGTACAACAATAAAACGTTTAATTACACACGCGCCCGCGGCGGTGTACACATGTCCACCTCTGCTGTATATTATAATATATATATTTATATAGTGTACATAATATGGCCGTATTATAATATACTATAGTGTGCGTATGTGTGTGTAATATGCATTGTATTATCGTATATTTATTGTTATTATACAATCGTATATTAATAATACAATTTACTGTATTGAGCAGCAGAGCTCTGTCGTCGTGTTAACGGTGCGATCTATATGTATATTATTAAACTGTATCTAATAAAATGTATAACTGGAATGAAGAATATAGCTATATAATTATTTAGGGTCCGCAAGGTATTTCTGCAGTATAAGTCGTCTGATTATTAATAAATCTTGAGTTGGATTTAAAATATTTAAATAAGGCATCTGATGCCTTTGAGGTCTTGGTCTTTGTAAATCGGAATGAAAAAATTAGTCTGTGCCTACTAGATAATAATATACAATGAACACTTTAAAATATTCAATACGATGTCTTGCGCTAATGGTTAAATGAAGAATTAGTCATGTAATGGATGGGTGATTCTAATTATTTGACGTAAATGCGCAAATATAAAATAGAGCATTTTATTTTATTATCAAGTATAGGTTTGTAATCACATAGGTACACAGGTAATATATTATTATTTCTATTTAATCATATAAGAGTTATCAAATTAAAATAATGAGAAAACAAACACTCCTATAGGACTCATCAATAATAAAAAAAGTACTATAAAATGGGGCATGGAACCATTGAACACTCATATTTAGCTACGCCACGGCGTATTTACATATTATATTATATACCTATACATGATATTCAATATTGAATGTTTGTGTGTGAAAATTATTTTTATTATATAGTGCAGACATCATTTTTAAAATGAGTTTATTGCTAAATGTTTACTCTGAACCAGCTATAATATTATATATTAATCTGGATGTACTTATCCTTCTATATCATTTGAATTTCAAACATTGGCTGTTGACCGTCTAATATTAAATTTTACTTTAAAACTGTCCCTAATAATAATAGAATTATGTTGTGGAATATAAATTTGATTATATGGAATTATTATTATTCGGATATAGGTAGTGGAAATCTGGGTAAGACGAGGGCTAGAGGTACCTATACCTCTTAAAAGATGGGAAATCATTGTATCAAGGAAACTATTGAGTTAAAGGAAAAAAAATATTCAAACAAAATATAATAATATTGTTTGATATCAACAATAATAATTCAAGTGATACGGTGCACGGGTTAGTTGAATTTAAGGCGAATACGCTATGTAATATTTTGCAAACATCAAAATATGAATAAGTACTCGTAATTAAATAATTACTTTTTCTTAATTACTCCTATACAACTTTTAATAGCTAATTTTGTTAGTTTTCGATTAATGTGACTTTAGTATAGTTAATTATTATTTTAAGAATGATTAATATATTACTAGTTGGGAGGGGAGGGGGGTTAGACGGAAAAAATTCAATGAAACAGGATAAACTATGTCCCATGTCATTATTATTTTTTAAAAGTTTTAAACTCAACTTTATACTTATCCTGTTTTATGAACATATCTACCTAATATACTAAAGTAAATATTTTATAAGCAAATATTACAAATATAGATATTAATATTTAGACATTACATATAAAACTATTAATACTATAACTCTTATTTTCTTGACAAATGTTAATGTCGTAGGTATATCATCGATTGTGTGTGATTAAAGTATTTATTCAATGTGAAATAACTAAGCTTTTTAAGCTTGAATAACATTTATGACCTATGTGATTTGAAATTAATTGTATTTATTATGAATTAGGGCCTAAGCCTCATCTTACCTCAGCCAAGGCCCATGAGGAAACAAAAATACATTTTTATGTTTTGTAAAAATGTATGTTTAAATAAATAATATAACAAAACTGATTCAAAATTTAGAAACTAGGTAGGTACATACAATTTTACTTAATAAAAGATCTTTGTATTTTCAATAAAATAAAATAATAACCACCTTAAATAGTTAAATAGTACATAAATACTTAAATCAGACTCCCTGAGAATTAATATCATATTGATAAATCAAACCGCGTGTAAATATTTAACTACAATGATTTTTGTTTCTCAAATCTATGAACAAACAGTTAAATTATAGCTTTGCATATGCTACTGTAATAAAATGAAACTTAAACGTAAAAATAATTTATATAACATACAAATACATAATATTTTGTATTTGTATTTTGTATACACAATACTGAATACTCGGATAAAATACCTACCTACAAAAGTATTTGAATATTCTTATGAAAAAATATTCTCCGAAAAATATTATGACGTAATTCCTATTATAAATTAGGATACTTTAAAATTAATAATCTTCATAAATTATTTGGAATTCCTACCTGCAAAAGAACAAGTATTCAGAATGTTTTAAAAATGCTTTTCGATTATTATTTCAAACATTTTAATTTACTTGATTTATATTAAATATATTATATGATTAATCGAATATTTTGCCTCTGCGGTGAGTGTTTTGTAAGTATCAATTGTTAATTTATTTTTTTATAACATGGCACTAAAGATAATTGATCTCTATTATTTATTATGCATAGTTAAGTATAATTTCTATTAGAATGGCTTTATACTATTTGTATTTCTAAGACAATGATAAACAGTCAACACTAAACATTATACATTTATTTATAAAATCGTATTTTTTTATTCTACTTAAAAAAATGGATCGAAGCATTAAAAAAGTTATTTT